TCATCGACCTCTGGGGCCGCTGCTACGAGCAAACCGTCATCTGCAAACGAGTAAGCTCTATAGCTAGCTGGGTAGCTAGCTGGATAGCTAGCTGGATAGCTAGCTGCATAGCTAGCTGGATAGCTAGCTGACGAGATAGCTGGATAGCTAGCTGACGAGCCAGCAGGATAGCTAGCTGGGTAGCTAGCTGGATAGCTAGCTGGATAGCGATCTGGATAGCTAGCTGGATAGCTAGCTGGATAGCTAGCTGCATAGCTAGCTGGGTAGCTACCTGCATAGCTAGCTGGATAGCTAGCTGGATAGCTAAATGGATAGCTAGCTGGATAGATAGCTGGGTAGCTAGCTGACTAGCTAGCTGGATAGCTAGCTGGATAGCTAGCTGACTAGCTAGCTGGGTAGCTAGCTGGATGGCTAGCTGATTAGCTAGCTAAGTAGCTAGCTGACAAGCTACACAGCTAGCTGGACAGCTAGCTCAAGAACTAGCTAAACAGATAGCTGAGCGGCTGTCCCCTGTCTCCTGCCGAGAGAATTTCGTCCCCGCTGCTGCTGCTGCTGCTGCTGCTGCTGCTGCTGCTGCGTGTTTGTGGTTTGCTGCAGCCGGCGGTAGCGGTGCTGGAGGAGATGGAGGGGGCGAAGACACGTCTCTATGACGACCTCTTCAGGCCGCGCGGGCAGCACANCTGCTGCTGCTGCTGCTGCTGCTGCTGGCGCTGAGGGGCACGGGCTCAGCAGCAGCAGCAGCAGCAGCAACAGCAGCAGCAGCAGCAACAGCAGCAGCAGCCCGGTGTATCCGTCTTGGGAGTGTGTAGGGGGCCTTCTAGGTCCCCCTGAGCTGCCGCTGGATTTGTTTTGTTCTGCTGCAGCAGCAGAAGCAGCAGCAGCAGCAAGCCGGGACGTGGGTGTGCCTTTTGTGGTGCGTTCAGCAGCAGCAAGAAAGGAGACAGCAGCAGCAGCAGCAGCAGCATCGGAGAATGTTGCTGCTGCTGCATGCCCGGGGTGTCTCCGCAGCAGCAGCAGCATCATTATATCTGAAGTTTTGGGGCTGGCACTGCAGCAAACCAGCAGCGCCCGCGTGCGTGCATGCGGGGTGTCGATGCTGGGGTTTCTCTCTCGCGCAGCAACAGCAGAGGTGCTGCTGCAGTCTCTGCTGCCTTTTCTTACTCATCATCTGGGGGATCCGTTCCCCACTGTTCGTGTTGCTGCTGTCAAAGCTCTTGCTGCTGCGCTGCTGCAGCTGCATGCGGCGCTGCAGCACGCGGCCCTCTGCCCGCACAGCAGCACCCAGAGTGCTCTCTGCAGCATCTGCGGCACCGCCTGCAACAGCAGCAGCAGCAGCAACAGCAGCAGCAGCAGCGGCCAGGGACCTGCTGCTGCTGCTGCAGCAGCAGCAGCAACCAAGGCTGGAGCTTCTCTCCGCCGCACGGGAAAGGGAGCAGCGCTGCCGCTGTCAAAGCAGCAGCAGCAGCAGCAGCAGCAGCAGCAGCAGCAGGCAGCAGCAGCAGAGGGTACATCGGATGCAGATGCAGCAGCATTGTTTTGTGGTTTTATTCTTCCTGCTATCCATCGTCTTAGTGCTGCTGATCCTGATGCTGCTGTGCGTGTTGCTGTTGCTGAGCTGCTGCCGCTGATGCTGCTGGCGGTGAAGGCTTGTCTGCATGCTCAGGCCCTCTTGGCGCTTCAGAGAGAACAGCAGCAGCAGCAGCAGCAGCAGCAACAGCAGCAGCAGGAGCAGCAGCAGCAGCAGCAGGAGCAGCAGCAGTACAAGCAGCAGCAGCAGCAGCAGCAGCAGCAACGCGAACGGTCTGCTTCTACTCGCCCAGAAACAGCCTCGCCGCCTCCCGTGGCAGCAAGAGTTGCTGCAGCTCCAACAGCCAGCAGCAGCAGCAGCAGCAGCAGCAGNCAGCAGCAGCAGCAGCAGCAGCAGCAGTACAAGTAACAGCAGCAGCAGCAGCAACAACAGCAGCAGCAGCAGCAGCAGCAGCAGCGAGAACGCTGCTGCAACACCCTCCAGCTTCCTGGTGTCTCCATCGACGGCAGAGACAGATGCTGCAGCGCAGCAGCAGAGACCCCCCCTTGAGGACAGCACGCAGCAGCCGGATGTTGCTGCTGCAGCTGCAGCGGCACCTGCAGCAGCAGCTCCTGCTGCTGTTGCCCCTGTGGGAGAGAATCAATGCAGCAGCAACAGCAGCAGCAACAGCAGCAGCAGCAACAGCAGCAGCAGCAGCAACAACAGCAGCAGCAGCAACAGCAGCAGCAGCAGCGTAGCCCCCACCGCTGGTCGTGAGGGGGAGGAGGCGCATGCAGAGACAGCAGCAGAAGTGTCTCCTTCGGCTGTCTCCCCAGCAAATACACCACCAGCAGACGCAGCAGCTGCTGCAGCAGATGCAGCAACAGCAGCTGCTGCTGCCCCTCCTGCTGCTTGTACTGCAGCAGGACCTGCTGCATCACCACCTGCTGCAGCAGCNCTGCTGCAGCAGCAGGTATATCGTGTGGGGTGTTATTGTCTGAGCGAGCGGAGCAGCAGCTGGGAGAAGCAATAAGCAAGCTGCATGCAGCAGTGCTGCCGACGCTGCAGCAGCAGCTGACGTGTCGCCCGATAGAGCAGCGGCTGGCGCTGCTGCGGGGTCTGCCTGTTCTTGCTGCTGTGCTGGGGCAGCAGCAAACGCATGCGTTGCTGCTGCCGTATCTGATAGTGCAGCTGAACGACTCATGCTCAGGTGTACGCGCAGCTGTGGTGAGGTGTCTGGGGGGCCTCGGGGCCCTCGCGCTGCAGCAGACAGCAGCAAGCTGCATCGTTCCCTGCTGCGAGCAGTGTCTGCGGGATCAGCAGGAGGAGGTTGTTGCTGCTGCTGCTGCTGCACTGACGCAGCTAGCCAGGGATCGTCTCCTTTCTGTCTCCTCTCAGGCAACATACACCTTACTATCGAAGCGAGTGGTGCCGCTGCTGCTGCTGCCGTCGCTGCTGCTGCGAGCTGTGCTGCTGCAGCTTCTTGCTGCGCTGCAGCAGAGCTGGGGACCCGTCCAGACATACGCGTTGCTGCTGCCGCTGCTGCAGCCGGTGCTGCTGCCACACTCACATCTGCTGCTGGTCGACGAAGTAGCAGCAGCACTGAGGCCCCCTCTCTCGCTCAGGCTGCTGCAGCAGCTGCTGCAGCAGCAGCAACCAGGCACTGCAGCAGCACGCCTGCTGTCTCTTCTCTTCTCTCCCGCGGTCCTCAAGGCTGCAGAGAGAGCCCAGAGGAGACACAGACACGGGCGGAGGAGACGCAGCAGCAAGCTCAATACAACTGACAACAGCAGCAGCAGCAGCAGCAGCAACACAGGCAGCAGCAGCAGCAGCAGCAGCAGCAGTGACAGCG